TTAGTTATTTTATTGTTTTGGAGGGAAGAGATTTAGTTATTTTATTTTTCAGAGGGAAAAAATTTAGTAATTTTATTTTTAGAAGTACAATGAAGAGCAACCAGTCCACAGATTTCTCCATTCCAGAAGAAACCACTGGTGCTTAAATCTAACTCCTTCTGGATAAAACTTACTAAGAGGAATTTTCAACATTAAAAAAAAAATAGAATTCTGTGTTTGAGCTTCTTCATCCTCATTGCTCTTGAACTATTGTTGCTTCATTAACATGAAAACCTCCAAGGCAAAGCACATTGGGCACAAACAGGTCCCTGAATACCATTACGGCAATTAACACATCTTCTCCCTAAATGTTAGTGAACAGTTCTATACCTGGACATACTCCCCTGCTTCATAAAAATTTGTCTTCTAATTTCTTATTGGTATTGAGAACAAAGTGAATTCACCACTGTGTTATATACTATTAACTTAGGTGCTTAAAGTTGCAGAATAAGATAATCATGTGTAGCCTGACTGGGACTTGAACACCAGACCATTGGAATACTGGAATCCACTTGGAATCCACAGTTCAACAGATTGAGCTACCCTGACGCTTACACATTTCATCTCCAATTTTAAGTGAACCATTCTTTATCTCTCCAATCATATTCTATAGAAACATGATAGAATTCTTAAATTGTAGAGAACACAATTCCATCTCATTTAACATTGTCTGGTTTCATATAAGGTAATTGACTTCGGCATGTTAACCTATAAATTAGATTATTTTATGTCTTGCACTGAACTTTAATCCATTTTCAATTCTGGCCTCATTTATTACAGCAACAGGATTAAGCTTGAGATGAAGACATTACTTGAGAAATCAATCTGCCTTGGCTACAATCATTGCTTTTAATGTGACAATATTCAGTCAATACTGTCCGGTGATTTTTTTTAAATCAATTTTCAAAACAACCTGGGGCATTCTGAAAGGGAAAATATAGCATGATAAATCAGGAAAGGGGGGAAATCTGAAATCAAATTCCAACAAAAAAGAATGGAATTTATCCACACATTTAAAAAAAAAATCAATTTCAATTTAACATGTATTAGGTACATAGAAGAGGCTATCTGTTCGAAATGCTTTCTGTCATCCACTGAAATATATATATCAATGCACTGATATAAGTCAGCTGCTGTTAAGTCATTGTTCTGGTGAAGAATGTGAATTTTGGGGGAAAATATAGCATTTTGAGGGGGAAATATAAATATTTTGGGCTTGGGGATTCAACTGTAAAATGTAAAGCTATCATTAAATAGAGAGGTTTCAGTCATCCTTTATAAACAATTACAGTGTAACTTCCAAATTCCAGAACTTCTAAAATCCTGAAACTTCTGAAATCAGAACATTTTGCAGGGTCCCAAAATTTCTTCTTCTATTTACTATGTAGTTAATATCTCTGAATAACAGAAATTCTAAGAAGTGACACTGTATCATTATCCAGTTTGCCTCAATTCTCCAAATAAATCCCTCTTAACCCTTTACATGCTCAATTTGTATTGTAAGTGCATAAAAAATATGCTAAAATTAAGAAGCAAATAGTATGAGTTTGGTCAGACTGCACAATAATTATTGTGTCAGGTGGCTCTATGCTAGGGGTAAGTCGTTTAAAGTACTCAAATGATTAATCATTATTTGATTTAATCAAATATTCGCTGCAAAAAGGACATCAAGGTATGAAATTATAAAACAGTAATTCTGATTGTAAAACAATCAGAAATTTGTCTGATGTTTCATTTTATGTGGTTTCTGATGTTGACAAATAGCACATGTAAAAAGATTACTATTATTGAACTTTAGGTTTTCATGTTATTAATAATTTAATTTGTAAATATTACAGTCGATTACAGTTTGCTACATATAAATAAAACACCATTGACTGAATGATTGCCATATAATTAAATATACAATCACAGATTTTAACAGACTGCAACTATATAAAATGTTTGATTTTTTTTTTTTTTTTTGGATTTGGTTTTACGTCGCACCAACACAGTAAAGGTTATATGACAACTTTTCAGCTTTACTGGTGGAGGAAGACCTCAGGTGCTCTTCTGTGCATTATTTCAGGCACAAACGGGCACCTGAGTAGAACCACAGACGCTCTGTAAGCTAGCTGGATTATAAGTTTCCTTAAATGAAAGAATCCAAAGTCCCTGTAGGAATTCCAACCTACAGCGGTGAGGGGCAAGTGGATTGACGCCACTAGGCTGCAGACTGAAAGGTTTGATAGTGAGGGTTCAAGCAAGTGAGGATTCATATATATAGACTGAGATTGCATTTCATGTACAAAATATTCAATGTTCATGCCTATAACAGGTTTAATATCTATAATTGACAAGAATCAGTTGTTCTACAACATAATTATAGAACATTGTAACAACTGTAAATATGTTTCAGCAAAGAGTACATTACAGCAGCAATGAATCCTCAAAAGCCTAAAATTCTACTCAAACACCATGATCAAACAATTTCAAACCCTGGTGGGTGAAATATTTATTTTGACCAAACCAATGCTATACTTTGACAAAATAATTTAAATGTTGTAATAGCATTACAAGCAAGACAATTTCACTTTTCTTTTCAATTCTATATCTCCATTGAAAACATCAGCTTTCTAGCACAGTTAAGTGTACTATGTGACAAACAAATGCCGAAAAAGTGAGAAAGAATGCATTATTAAGTGGTAATAGCCTAGTCCATTATCTCTGAAGATTTATGGTAAATCTGAAAGAGAACAGTAGCATTCCCATCTATCTGTCACCAATCAATTAATTTTCCTCCAATTCCTGGATAGAAAATTGATATACTATTAGAGACAAATAGATACTACTGCATCAAATTGTCCTCTCGTGAAGAGCTGCCCAGGAAATTGGAAATAACTGCGACACGACTGATATAATACAGGACATGTCTGAAACACGTTGATTTTTTAGGGGAACAATGTCCTTTCCTGATGATTACTTCCCCAGAAAGCTTAAGGCATTGTTTTATTAACTCTTCAAAAAAAGAAAAGGTCATTACGTCTGAAAAGTACAGCAGACAACCACCTGTGCATTCAAATTACAAATCTGAAAAAACTTATGTTCAGTTTATCTGATGGTCTATCAAGTAAATAATAAAAATATACACTCCTTTACTTCACCCAACAGGTGTTGATGCATTTGCTAAAAATAAAGTCCATTTACTCTATAATAAACCGTTTCCAAAATTAATATTGATTACAAATGTCACATCAAATGTCAAGTGGCCACATGCTAGACATTTCAATTTTTATCAATATCAAAGAAATTGTGGATTTAAGTTGAAGAAATTACTGAAGATTCACAAAATGATGTATACCATGGGTTCCGATGATGCAAATGTATGTGATACAGAATGTGTAATGTGGGTTATGACGATCGATGACAGCATAGATAATCACCCTCATCTGATTTACTCTTACCATGCTAAATATCCTAAATTGACTTGTCTATTTTTCAATATAGACTTAACCTGATTTATCATTGTTTGGAAACATTTTCAAAACATGTACTGACTGAATAGCAAATACTGCAGACCATAATCAGAAATATGACGGCTGATTTTGGTCCGCACTGGTTGAATAGGTATAATCTGAATCTGTTTCAGCCAGCTTGGTTGACCCAATACTGTAACTGTTGGCATAGGTCTGTTATTTTATCAATTAGCTTTCAATGGATGAACAAGTTACAACTTTTGTATGCAGACTCTACAACATGCTCCCTAAAGAATTTTGTTCATAACTGATCATAATGAAATCATACAAATATTGTCCTCAGATGAACTCATTATACAGTATGTGTTGGACTAGAAGAGATCGTGTCATGCATAATGATAATTATGTCATAAAAATTGGATCACTTTATTGGGACATATGAACTAAAATTATTTTTCCTCCACTTATTATGACCTTTTCCTTGAAAATTATGGTTTAGTGCATATGGAAAATTCTGATCACTGCCAAAGTTGTATAAAGGACTTAACCCGCTTTGAATTTTGAACAGTCCATTAGCTGTTTAAGGGAATTCTTTATCAAAAATACAAAATAATGTCAACTAGCACCGTATAAGAATGTGCAGGCTGGCCGAAAGCTATAATTAAACACTGGCCATGAAAAAGGTGCATATCACCTCTACCTATGAAAACAGACCTATTATATCACCTCTACGTATGAAATCAGGCCTATTATATCACCTCTAAAACACAAAGGATTCTGATGCAAACATTACAGAAAATATGTAACATCAGAATTTCCTTGAAGATCTAAACTGAACAATGAATCAATTTCTAAAAATAGACTGAACATAATTACACTAAGATTTTCTCATTACTCAGCATTTTTTATAAGCTGCTTGAAAAGGGAGAAGAAAAAACATAATTTTTCAGTCTTAACAAGATCTTGTGAATACACCAGCATGTCAACAAGAAAAGGAGGGAAAAAAAACTTTTGTTGCAACATTGAGAAATGGCTTAAAACCTAATTACTCCTTTTTCTTTTGTCAAAATTACAAGAAATAATCCCTCAGGTGTTAACATGTAGTTTGTATTAGAGTAAGCAGACGTCACAATGAAATATGAATGTTTTTTTTTCTTGCATATCAGACAGGATTTCCTACAGTCTACTCCTAACATGGAAAAACCCGTCTCACACCTGCCTTGTAACTTGTAAGGCAAGTAACATGTTTTAAATGATGTAATTCCCGCCCTACTTTATAAATGAATTCTGCGCTTGGGATGGCATCATTCTGCTATTATGAATAAGGTTGTAAATTTGAAGTTGTTAATTCATACACTATCCCAATAGAACCGTAATTCAAACAGTTAAGCTAGTTTTGGCCAATAATTATTGTCACGGGAAATAATATTCGAAATTTTCTTACTTTAAAAAACATGAAAATATTACAATCAACTACAATGCAATATAAATCTAATACAAACTTACCTGTAATTTAACTTTGGTACCGTCTACTTCTACAACTTTGTTCTGCAATACAAAAAGATGTAAATGAAAATTACAATTACTAACCAGCCAATTCTTAAAATTGAACCCTCCTAAAACCTTAAATGATTAGCATTAATGCCACCATTATATTGCCAGCTAGGCCAGCCTGCATATCCCTGCAATCTATCCTTTAAATTTTCATCCTAATATCCCTAGAATTTATAAGGGAAAGTTCTGAAAATCAAAGCTGGACAAGTCCAATTAAGAAATTCAGCAGGTTAAAGGTTAAGGCAAAAATAATAATCATGCCAAAGTAAAGAAAACACCTGGCCAGCTTAAACATTTGTACAGCTTGACTTTATTCATTCAAATGCTAAATTTTGTCATTTTGAAATTTAACACCCTAAAACTTATAATAAACTGTTCCAAATTCATAGCTGGACAAGTCCATTATATAAAGTCAGTGTGACCAAGTGGTTAATGCGTCAGACTAGTAACTTACATGCTATGTGTTAGGGATAAGTAGTTGTTTCTTTGAGCCAGACACTTGACACACATTGCTTAGTAATGTTTGGTTCTAGGATTGGATTTCTGAGTTTGTCTATAAGTTTACAGCTTCCAACACAATCAAACTAAAATGATTACTGTATAAACTGTATTCCATTGCTTAGGGCCAGGACTAAAATAAATTTAACTCAACATTTGAAAATTATGTCATTATGCTTATACCAATTCTATGACATAATTCAATAAGAGTTACCATTGATATTATGGCAAAATAGAACGGCCACAGTAGGTCTCTAAAGCTGAACATATAGCATCTAATGACCTTTTATACCATTCTAGAAACTTGCTCTCTAATTTGCATAATTATGTGATATATACATGTATATAACAAGTAAATGTATATAATTGTTTCCATATCAATAAAGATCAATTATATGCAACAATTTGTAGAGGGAGTGTTGACAAATGTTTTATTTTGTTCTACATGTACATTATAAAGAAAAAGTTGTTTATTTTTGTGGGTGTATGTGTTTTTGTTTTGATTTTCTATTGACAAGGTTTTATGTTATTTGTTTCCTCAATAACATGACAAGATACATGTATATTACAACTGTGAACATAGTGCAAACATTGTTATACATTTATTTGTCAAGTTTATATAAATATGGCAACTAGAAACAGCAAAGATGTTCAAATAATGGTAAAGACACTGCCTTTACCAAAATTCACTGAAGATGCGATTAAACCTTAACCCTAACCATGTTTAATATCATATATGGACTTGTCCATCTTTAAATCTAGACAAAACCATTCATCATCTTCGGGGAAAATTAAAAAATATGTACTGGTTGATAAGCAAACAGTGCAGACCATGATCAGACAGATGTACCAACCGATCTTGGTGTGCACTGTTTGCATAGGTACCTGCAGGGTAAGAGTTAAATTTCAGTAAATTTAAAGACGTCATCAGTTTTTAGTAGTCTACTAATTTGAATAAACTGAATCAACAGTTTAAGAACAATGGATGTTACATTAACACACAAAACATGATGTGCAACAGCAGCCCCTCTGACTTGAGACCAATCATTTTGCTCTCTCTACTCAAGGCCTGCATAATCACTCAGTTTCACCAAATATTTGCTTCCTTACAACAGCCTTATTTAACAGAAGGCCTGTTCTCTATCTAAAATGAAGCTAATTCTCTCTTCATGTATTCCAAAACCTCCTCCCTCTATAGCCCAGGGCCTACTGTTTCAAATACAAGGCATTCTTTCTCTTATCCAGTGACTGCTCTCTAACCAAAAACATTATATCTCTTTATTCAAAGGACACTTTCTCCAAACTAAGGTCTGCTTTAAATAATCAAAGGCCTGCTTTCATCCCCTGCTTTTTAAACACACAAGATCAGCTCTATCTAGACCTGCTCTTTCTTATCCAAGACTTGTTTTCTCTCTTTAATCAAAGGCCTACATTCTCTCTAACACAAGGTCAGCTTTCTCTTAACCCATGACCTGCTATTTCTGACCAAAGGCATATTTTTAATGCAAGACCTACACACTATTTTTGTATTTTTCTCTCTAATTTAGCATTTGCTCTCTCTAATAAAAGGCATTCCCTTTCTCTCTCTTTACCTTAAAGCATTGCTCTCTCTCTATGCTGTATGTTTGTCAGAGTGGGTCATGATAATACCTCCACTTTTTCTTATAAAAATGGACTTAAAAATAAACAAACAATTCAAGTCTTGTAACCAGTAATGCCTCTGTTTATCAGAAAGAAAATAAGAAGAAGTAAAAAACCATGTAAGGCTGTAAAATGGTAAGGATAAACCAAATCATAGAATGATGCATTGGAGATTTATTCGTAGATGGGAACATCAATTTGAGACAATATTTACACAGTTGAGATGTAAATTATACTCAATCAACAACACTGTCAGGAAATATCTTATAGGTAATTATGGCCACAAGGCAGCAATAAGGGACCTGAACTATCGGTAATGACAATTCACTGGTACTTATTGATGTAATCCTCATGAATATGTTCTAAAGATTGATAAAAAAATTCTGAATCTTCATCTCCAATATCAATTTCTGATTATTCTGTGAAAAACTTTGATCATTTTTTTTTAAATTCAATATACAATTTTTTTTTAAAAACTATTAAATTGGGTATCTGGTTTATAGAACTATGTAACTTTTATAATGAAATTTTATGATCCCTTTGCAAATCCTTAGGATCAGTAAACAAACTGAAATGCAGGTCTCTTAACACAGTCAGAAAGTGAAAAAAAATAAAGAGCTAGGCCACATTCACATCTGTTGCTTAATTATAGTATTTCGATATCAAAACCCCCTCATTTAAATAATGGACAATTCCAAATTCAAAGCAGGACAAGTCCATTTTACCAATTTTAAGCAAACATTGTGACATAAGACGACAAGATTAATTTGATATATCATATCAAACCTTAACCATTCACATGCTGGGATAAAGAGTATAGAGCCAACAGCTTGTACATCCGTGCAGTCTAACCAGACACTACACTGTTGGTGGCTAAATTTTCGTATTTTGATATTGAAATCCCTTAAACTTTGAATGGACTGTTCCAAATTCAAAGCTGGACAATTCCATTTCTCAAATTCAGCAGGTGGAGGATAAGAGAGTAATTCTAGACAGGCATTTATCATATATATACATTCATACATGTTGGAGACAATGTAACATATCCTGACATCTGCAGCAACATGCCAATATTATGCAAATCGTGGACCTTATCTTAAACACATAGAACAAGATCTCCCATCTTTGAATAATTGATCTATCTTTGCATAATGTCTCTTTGCTTACATCCATTTATCTCCTATAATCTCATCAATATGTTATACTTCACCATCAATAAATTCACCTATTCCAATTTCCTTATGATTTGTAATGCAACAGAAGACATTCAGTCCTAAACTGAGGTTGAATATCATATTTTTACAGTTTTATGAATATCAATTGATAAAATATATCACAGAGATTCAATTGATAACTTATATCACAGAGATTCAATTGATAAAATATATCACAGAGATTCTTTAACTTTATAACCTGTCAAATTTGAACCTGACCATGAAAAAGTACATAGACATGTTGACATCAGATACAATCCCAAATTGTCCTTAATACATGCATATGACAAATGAGACCAAAGGATATTGATAAACATGTACATGTATTTATAATTATGTTTTTGTAGAGCATTTAAATGTATAGACAAAATGTTACTTTCTTTTTTTACTTGCTTGAAAGACTTACTGGTATGTTATAAACTTTTTACATTTTCATATTTAAAAATACATGTACATGCATGAAAAAATTGTCAAAAATCAAAACATGCAGAGCACAACATTTATTTAATCCTTAAACCTACTGGAAACGAAAGTGATATGCCTTTCCCTCTGGTAAAGAGCCAGGCCAGTCCCTACATATGTGCGGTCTGACCAGGCTCTCTACTGTACGTGGCTAAATTTTAGTATAATTCTAATATTAAAAATCCCTAAAAACCTCTAACAAAATGGACTGTTCAAAATTCAAAGCAAGGCAAATCCATTACAAATATTCAGCAGGTTTAAGAATGAAAAAAGATTGAGAATAAAAATACTTTACCCAACTTTGATACCACAACTTACGTTTATAAATAAGATTAAGAATAAAAGAAATACTTTACCCGAAAGTCAATACCAACTGTTGATATAAAGCTTCCTGAGAGAAAAGCACCATCTTTGAAGCGAACTAGGAGGCATGTTTTACCAACTCCGCTGTCCCCAAGTAGCATCACCTACAATATATTATCACTACAAATATCATAATCTTGGCCTCTCCTACCTGTTAACAAAATTTTTAAAGCATACTTACCTTTTTTTTGGCTTTTCTTTTTTACCCTTCTGGTAAATTGACCCATTTCCAATGACATAAATGCATATTTTTTAAAAAGTAACATTTTATATATTACAAAATTCCCAAAAGGGTAGATCCAGACTAATTCCTAAAATAGTGAGAATATTCACTGCTTTTTGAATAAGAACTGATTATGTACCTTCTTGAAGTTTTAAATGCAGTAACATAATGTCCCTGAGGACTAACAAATCTGTATGTGCTTAAACTACTCCTGAAGGGTCAATGGTGGGGTTGTTGGTAGTTTACCCAAGCAGAGGTACATAGCAAATGACTGTATGAATTTCATGACAAATCACAATGAAAGTGACCTGCACCGTCTGGGAAAACAAACCTGAGCACCCAATCAACAGTCTTATGCTCTATCTACTGAGTGAACTGTACGGTGTCTTCTAAAAGGTCAGTTCTTTTTAAGTGGTATTTATTCACACTTTATTCCAATGCCTCCTTCATTTAGAAGAGTTCTGCCATCTTACTAAATTTTCAAGTCCATTCTTTTACACATGTAACATTTACAGCAGTATGTATTTTGTATTTATGTCTGCTTTTAGACTCTTTTATCTATTGATTTAATCTACTGTTTCTTAAAAGAAATTCTAATTAAATAACTCAGGTATGATGACAAAAATTAAAGTACAATCTCAGGGGAGTGAATTTTCAATTCAACATAGTTTGAGTATAATTACTTTTAACTTATATGAACATTCAACCTTCAATAAAAATTAACCACAAATAAACTTCAGAATAAGATGATATAACTAAATTTGCCATGAAAGTAAAATAAAGAAAATGTCTATGTACAGAGTTCTAAGTTTGAGTAAGTCATTTTAAAATATTGGGTCAAATATATTAGCCACAAGTTACTCTTTATTCTTCATATAATTTAGTTAAAATTAATTTTCACTGGTTTGGTTTTAAGTCACACCACCTGTGACTTACGGTAATATGGTATTTTTCCTATCATGAAAGGTGGAGGAGGACCTAATAGATTCTCTAGCTTTCTATAAGCTTACAAATCTATTTCACTAACTGTCATGATCTTTTTTCTTCATTCTATAGCAGGGGAAATTTACAGTTGCCTTTCCCCTTAGGAAAATTCTTTCAAATACATAATGTACATGTATTGCAGTTTTCCCCTTAAAATTCAATTTACCTTAATTAAGTTTCTACTACCCCTTTTGCAAATTGACTGTGTCAATTTCCCAAAATGTAAGAAAATGGTCCCTTCCACTACCAGTAAAATGTACACGCTGCCAACTTTACTGGCTTGATTTTTTCCATCTAGGGTGGGAGTGGGGATTCCTCCCCCAGGTAAAAAATTAAATCTACATTAATGGTGCCAAGAGTAGTACAATGCTACAATTGACACAGTCATAATGACATTACTATATATTTCAAATAATTGCGCTTCAAAGATTTCAATGATAGATTGGTAGACTAATTGGTGCATCATCAAATACAAATTGATGCATAAAATACATATCTCATTCTGTTAATCATGCACTAACCTGAAGATATACATGTACAAGACCTGATTATGTAACTAAACACAAAATAAATATTCCCTTATTCAGTTAATGACATGACTTCCAGGTAGGCTCCTATTAACCTTTGAATTTGAAATGATATAAGCAATGGTATTATAAAACTTAAATTACTAGTTACTGATAATTATATTTTGATAAACAAAGCTTGAAATTTTAAATTGGTTTTATTTTAGTAGATAATATTATTGAAATTTCTATCTGTATCAAATAAATGTGATATTTAGCTGCCGTCTTTTTCCACAACAATTAGCATTATTGAAATTTAAGACCAAACCACCATTTTTTCATTACTAAAGAAAGAAAAGAATGCACTTTCATCAGGTGATATCCGGGTAATTGAATACGGTCGATTACTGTCACACACGATAAAATGTACACACCTTGCAACAAACATCACAAGCTTCCATGCAACTAGTCTTTCTAGACAGCCTATGATGTGAAATACCTCCTGGCTCAAAACTGTCGCCATTTACATAAGTTTTCCTTGACATTTTGCTGTGAAATTCGCCTTTCCATGACATAAAATCATCCCTCCGATTTTGTAAACATTTTACACATGTACAAATCACAAACTTCCGGGCTGCCTCGTTCTAATTTTAACAAACGCCCACTTTCCCGCGTATATGTCATTGCACGAATGGCGTTCATAATATAAATTCCTTTATTAGCTTTATTTGAGAATATTTAAATGAATTATACAAAGCTTTGTGGTTATTCTTAAGAAACTGCATAATGTTGTTTATATCATATGAAGAAATGTCAATGATACATACATATTATTTTGTATTTATAAACGTTAAAGTACAAATGTCACGCGCTAGATCTACTTAAAAATGACACGGAAATACGACTGTTTGGAGAAACATGAGCAAAAAAATTGTGAAAAATGCACAAGATTGTTGACGAAAGCATTTTAATGAGCATATATAGCAGTTAGTCAAAATATATTGACGTACCAAAGCTAGATTCTGATATAGATCTATACATGTATTCTTGTTCTGGGTCAGAATCTCGCTAACACTATATATTGCCCATACACAAAATAGCACAATATCTCATCGCGTTGTACAATTAGTTGGATTAGGAGATAAATATTACATGACAGAATTAATCATCAAATTTATATTTCTTACAGGTCATCCCTATATTCCCCTGAAATGGGTAACGGGTTATCTGTCTCTTCCCGGACCAAAGTCATCGAATTTAGATGATTCATAACGTAAAAAACTGTTTTACTTCATATGCTGGTTCTACAACTTGAAGTAGATCTAAATTGAGGTACTATTATTAAAATCTAGATTAGCCTGGCCTCATATTCCACAAAGTTTCCATTAGTGCTGCACTTCAACATAATATTATAATCATTAACATGGACATTTTCCAGACTGACAGGAATGTAAACTGATATCATCTATAATTACCTATGTTGCTAACTTTAGCCAGCTTCCGTATTAATTTGATACCATGGAAACCGAGCTTTGGATAAGGGTCTATTAGTCCAAGTCCCTTTTTATTTTATTTTTTTTATAAATGTAAATATAGCGACGTTTTTCGTTTATTTTTTTTAACCAATACTCTACAATAGCATTGTATGATTCCATATATGAGCCGCGTCACGACAAAATCAACATAGTGCGTTTGCGACCAGCATGGATCCGGACCAGCCTGCGCTTCCGCGCAGTCTGATCAGGATCCATGCTTTCTCTACTTGTAATAGGGTTTGTAAGCGAACAGCATGGATCCTGATCAAACTGCGCGGATGCGCAGGCTGGTCTGGATCCATGCTGGTCGCAAACGCACTGTGTTGGTTTTGTCATGGCGCGGCTCATATAATGTACGTGTATCTAACATTCCTAACAATTTACGCCAATAAAAGAATAGAAAACTTGCACAGAAGGATACTGTTGGTAAAAGATAAATCTTATTATTACCTCATCAAAGATGATCGCTAGTAAAATGCAAGAATAAATAGATAATATGTAACAATGGGAAAAAGAAATTAAAATGCCAGACAATTTGACCAGGATACTTCTCCTGTCAGCATTTACTTTACTTTCCCGCCAAATAGCAGACTTGAAAGTATTCTGAAAGAACTAACAGTGATCTTGTGACTTTGCTGTTAAATATAGGAATATTCCAGATTTTTTAACAAATTACTTGATGATTTATTTACGGCACATAATCTTGAAATCATAATTATTTCAATAAATTTTGCTTATCCAATGGTCATGGATAGAAGCTTGAAGAAAAAAAAGATGTCCGAACGTTAGACATGGCATTTCCGTGCGGATTTGTCTTTGTGCTTTAGCTGAGAAGTGTTATCTGAGAATACGTATCAATACTTAGCAGTGAAAATAAACTAGTTTGTTTTTATTGGTATATATCATGTCTTACCCGTAATTCTACTCCATTTAACAAAATATCCACTTCCGGTTCCATTTTTACTTTCGGTTCCATATATCCTTTTGGCGTTCTTACAATATCATACACAGAAATTGATTCGTTGAATGTGGAAACTTCACATTAACTATATGACTTGTGGTAACATTAGCAGTAAGTGTGATAAAACATTCGGTCACTATAACAACGCATATATTTTAATAAGCACCTTTGGTCATCTGCTATGACATTATGCTAATATGCGAATTAGTCATATAAAGAGGGTGATTAAATATTTGTTGATACAACAAAAAACGTGTTATGGTATTATAGCGAAATATTGACACAAAAAATGTTATGGTGGTTATATTGTATTTGAAATATGATCACATTTGAACTTTGACACCTTTGTTTGGTATTATATAAATGTACATATTGTGCAAAATTTGTGTTTTATTTCAGTCAGTTGTTAAAAATATGTTCCTAACCTATTACATCCTTTCTTGGTTTGATATTAAAGGGACTCAACAGAGGTTGTTTTTTTTACATGACGGGACTAGAAATATGTTTTCAAAATTAAAATCGCATCTGATGTAGGTCTAGACCAACAGCTTGTGTGCAAAATTTCAGATCATTTGCTCACTTCGTTTTTTCCAGAATGATTATTTAATTGTGAAAATTGACCCAAAATTGAAAAGCGTTGCAACATTTTCCCCTCAAACGGACTAAGAATAACACAAAAATACGATTTTCAATTAATTTCTGAACATTTTTCTTAACTATCTTGTGTTTATCTTTCTGTTTAGATAGCCTTAGCTGATCTATGCAAGAAATTCAAATTTATTGTTTTAGGCGTTTGGAGTTCCCTTAAGTAGCACATATACTTTAAATATGAGCCGCGTCATGACAAAATCAACATTATGCGTTTGCGACCAGCATGGATCCATGCTGTTCGCTTACAAACCCTATTACAAGTAGAGAAACTGATAGCGAACAGCATGGATCCTGATCAGACTGCGCGGATGCGCAGGCTGGTCTTGATCCATGCTGGTCGCAAACGCATTACATTGGTTTTGTCGTGACGCGGCTCATTTGTCAAGCTTTACTGACTGAGGAAGATCTCAGGAGACTCGACGTCATCATGCCTCGGAAACAAATAAATTTTCACTTCTTTTGAAAGAGCAAAAATGTAATTTTATATGTTTAAATCATGGTATTAGAGAATATTAGATGCTTGTAACATGAAAAAAGTAGCGATAAACGTGAAATAATTTATAATAAAAGTAGCAAAATGTAAAACAAAGTAGTATTTTGACTTCTATACAAAATACTTATTCTCAATAACTGTACTTTTGCAAAGAAGCAACAGATGAAAAAGATGGTTCAGGTAATTGGCTAAATTTAATGAGTTACTTTTTGGATACTCTAAAAGTGCAACAAAATTAAAAAGCTTTTGAGAAATAAAAATAAAAGCATTTGTCTTGGGCATTATGAGCCTGATCCGGGTGGCTGCAGACATACAAAGATATGTTTACATGTTGTCCACGTTCTGATCATGATCATAATCGTCGAATTAATCCATTTATTTACATCTAGTTATGTAAATGTATTTTCCATGAAGAAGATTACATAACAAATCTTAAATATCATGAAATACACCTCTGATTAATTTCGGCAAGTTTTCGATAAATTTCGACCATATTCGACAGAAATACTATTCTCTATCAATTGTCCATTCGATCAGGTGTCATATTCGACCTGATGTCCATTCTATCTAATATCGTATGCGACAAAGTGTCTTCCGAGCACCGGAGTACATTCTGACAACATCAATATTAATTTTGTTGGAAAACGAAATACAGATTATTATTTTTTCATTGAAGAATTTAACGTTTTGCGGATAAATATTCATGCAATGACATTGCTGCTGATTTAATTTTCCTACTCTGTAATGAAAGATCAATGTGTAAACGTCATTTGCCAAAACCTCTATAAAAAAATTCGCTGGCATAATTACGTTAGTCCGAAATAAAAGATTACGTGATTTGTATCGACAAACATTAATATCTCAGCATTGTGATTTGTAGAGATTGCTTTCTGTACAATTTTAGACCTTTTCTTACAACAGCTGATACAGCACTGCACTGACTTCACATAAATTGCATAGCACTAGAATGTTACATATGTTATGTTAGTTTAAGCAGGGGTGTCTATGCTCGATTGTAATCAAATTTTTCATAAAATTTGTATTAAACAATTTCGAGACCGTCTTTTCGTCTTTTGGAACTAATCAGTTCTTGTTGTCATATCAGGAAACATATCGCGACCCAAGTAGGACTCGAACACACAAAAAACTGGTGAGGAGCACATACAAGTTGCTGTCATAAATATCATATATAAAAAATCATACATGAATTAAAGAATATAAAAAATCTGCAAAAAACATAAGAAAATAATTATCGTTTTATTCTTCGTTTTAAGAAGTACCATAATACCTAATAAGGAATTATGATGCATGGATTTTGTGTTAGCTCCAACAGTTGTAGCCAAGTTAGTTATATTATATTCATGCCCAAATTCATTCAAATAAAATGTCAAATAACACCTTATTGTTATCAAATGCATAATTTAACTAGTATTAAAGTTTTTCAACTTAGAAACGCTCTCCGTAACATTTCTGACCATTCGAAAAATGCACTTTCTTATTTGATTGGGTTAGTTACTTTTTTGGGGATAAAAGGACAAAGTACTGAAAATTAAATCTTCTTGCAACCGTTTAATTGATCAAGGAATGACGAGTGACACAATTTAAGGTCGAGGAAATTGTATTTCGATGCTAAGAGGCCCGTTTAGCCAAAATAAATGATTTTATTTTTGTTTCGAAAGTTTCTTTTTTTTTTTTTAGTGTCCTGTTATAATTCCCAATAAAGTGTTACTTATTTGCTAATGACCTGAACTATCTTTGCTTCTGTTACGTTTTTGGCAATTAGTACAGTTATAGTGATTAAGTATTTTGTATGTAAGTTAAAAAAAGTTATTTTAGGTGATAGGCATCTTTAATGTTCTAAATCCATAACTGCAACAATATAAACACACGCATTTGACCTTTTTTAAGAAAGAAAGAAAAACTATTTCTGAGGCCCAATGTGGTTAATAAGTAAAAATAAATTTAAAAAAAAAATACGAAAAAAAACCGAGAAGAAACATGCATCAATTTTTGCAGACTATTTTATTGCATTCGATCAAGATCAGTTACAATCAAAACGAAAAAAGAAATACTAGATCTAATCATTTTAGTAACAAACTATATGGATCCTGAAGGTTCAAACTTCTTAAAATTGTTGACTTTTTTTATTAATTATAAAACTATGTAGTATAGTGCTAATATTTTAGTTTCTTAAATCTTCAGTGTTCCATATAAAATCATTTCAATCTAATATTTTGTATGGCTAAGTGAAAGAAATTAAAATATCGGTTTTGAAGATACATGTATTTCATTGAAAATTCAAGGCATTTCCATGAAAAGTTGTTATTTTCATGAATTAGTAAATTTAGGTGTCCCGTTCTGTTACGCGAATGTACAACACTGTCTTAACATTGTTTGTTTGAACACTGTGTCTGGCAAAAAATTTAAGAAATAATTATGAGCACATCTCCATTTGTCTCGAACGAAACATAAATGGAACAATTTCTTTCAATGCTACAGAACGTCCATCACTAAAGCTAGGTATACCAGTTCATGTCTGAGAAAGTGCGGGAAGTATTGGGTCTAACTTCGCTTTGTGACTTGCATGGCGTCGCTTAAAACACTTGAAAATAAACACATGGCAATAAATCTAAGCAAGCAGCGATTGTTTCAAGTTGCATCAATATTTTATAAGCTTTTACAATGAATTATTCTGAAAAGCTCGTGCCGATAATTGAAACATAAACATTAAAGACTTGCCTAAGGATCACGTGCTTCCTGTGAGCGGAAGATGATGTGAATTCGTTTTCATAAAAAACTTACCATGCACATTAAGTTGAATACCAACAATACAAAAAAGTTCCCCAATATGTGAAAATGAAACAAATGTTGATTTATAAACTGTAAAGAATTTGAAGCTTTCAAAGAAGCTTACTTAACTGATTGACGTTCCCGTTTTCAGATACATACGTTAACAGCAAAATTCACTACTAGCAATTTGTATATACGGAAGGATAGCAACAACTTCTTACAAACTAGTATTGACTCGATTCCGTCTTATCAATGCCTTTTGTATTATAAAAGGAACTTTAAAAAATCATAAAAGTTTTATATAGGTGTTACGGTGAAATATTGAAATAAGCAAATTAATGATTTAGAATAGACGGATGATTGTTTTATCTGCAAAAGTTCGCTTAATAAGTTAGTGCGGAAGTTGAGCAAATTACCAGGAAGGAAGTGAATACCCTAGTACTTTCAGCGCTTTGATTTGCATAAAAAACACAAACGCACGCACATTTGCAATATTGTAACATTACAACCAAATATAACGCCCAACCGCCTATCAACATTATGTCATTGAATAGCCTACTACATGTACTTTAAAGGAAGATCATTTAGGCGTCGGACAATATTTCTTTTTCTTTGTTCAAAATATCCAGTTGTGAAATAAGGACCATCCTTGAACATTTTCCTATATTTTTTCCATATCCCACCTCAATCCTAATTAACTCATTTACTTTTTAATGTTGAATTCTCATTAAACTGTTCCCACATATTATGTTATTCTATTGTTTTATGCAATAAAATATCGTTTAAGTAAAACTCAATAAAATACAATAAAATGCCCACATTAGACATAGAAGAAAAACTCTCCTTTCAGCTTGTCCTTGCCGGCACGCTTTCCCTCTTACCCTTGTCATCTCCCGCCCCTTACCGTTCAAAAAAGGAAAGAGACGGCAGTGAATTCACCAAAATAGATCTATTATTTGAATATGATTTTTTTTTTATTTTTAAATAGCTGAAAAGTATATTTGGACTCTAAGTTATAAATCTAAAATAAAATTTTTATTGTTATTTTATTTTTATTTCTTAATTTAATAACAATGATATCAATAAAACTTTAAATCTTTAGGATGCTGACAATATTCGCATCATATTGGACTTAAGTTACATGTATGTACCACTTCATCATTTGTAGACTTCATTTAAATCCTTTGCAGATTAAATTTACATTATAATTATATTATTCTAATCGGAATGAATGTTAGAATATATTTATTCAAATTATTTCCTAGAAAATAATTCATTACTCTATCATAATAGTTTAATTACGCTTTTATTTTTTATCAATCAATCATATAAGTTTGAAAGCAGACGATACCTTGTAAGTTTTATCCACGTCCTCATCAGCACATTGACACGTATCTGCCACAATGGCGCCATTAAAGGGTACGTCATTGAACGACGCCACTTTTTAGGTTATCCACTGACGTTTTTTAACTCCTTATCAAGATCGTATCGGTGATTTTTTTTCCCGGCACCACTATATTAGTTCTTGATGCCTTAGTCCCGTCATTATCGAATTGTGCTCACTCCCGGTGACCGTGTCAATAGTTTAATGGCTCAAAGACTGTCGTTTTATTCCACGGAGATGAGATAAATAAAGCAGGAAATAATAAGTTCGTCACAGTAAATTTTCGTTTTACAGCATACACTTACATTCTTAGAATATTATAAAAGACTATATAAAGAAAAAGATGAGCGCCATGAATTTTTTAGCAGAGAATGATTTTAAATATAGTTTTTTTTTACAACAAATTTTCTCAAATAAAATTTATAGAAATAAAAAAAAAAGAAAATAAACATATGCTATCCAAACAAGTAATTATCCCTTGTAATTTTTTTGTCTTGTCACAACTGTCGTATGCGTATTGTCATCTACTGCAGACGACAAAATAATTTCCCAGAACTATTTGTAATTTTTCTCGAAATGGGAATGTGAGTATCTGCCAGTAGATACGATATACATGTATTTAGTTACGTAGGCCCATATTGTCTTTATGAGTGAAATGCAAACAAAATGTGCGAAAACCGTGAAATGTAAAAATTCACGCAATCGTTGACTGGAACGAATTGTTTATCCGTTCTATTAATAACGATTCGGATGCAGCCACGGAGATGAAAGCCTTCTGTAAATGTTCGAATAAACTACATTGATATGAAATATTTACATGTTTTACAGTGACATATCTATAATGGATTGATAAGAATTCATCTCCATATATTCAATTAATTATAATATGCAATATGCATGGCGTTCGTTGTCACGTGACTTTCTGTGAAACATTGAAACAATTTTATGATAGACTGATTTTGAATAAAAATACAAAACGATATAAACACTACAAATTAACTAGTCCCAAAATGTGTGTACTTGAGAGAAATGCAAAAGACCAATCCCGCCGAGTAAGATATGATTATTAATTAATACATGTATTTTATGAGACATATTAATTTCTATAAGATTTGGACACATCATTTTTCTAAAGAGGTAACTGGTAATGTTTCGTTATATTAAATTAAATGTTCACGACTCCGTTAATTTGAAATGCAATGCGCTGTGGGAATTTGGCCGTTTTTTTATCCATATCCAACTTGCGGTTTCCTTGACGGGCCGTTGTAGAGAATCGGCTTCTCCAAACGCACTCTAACGTTCGGATCATAGTCTACCGGGGATGCCTGTAGGCGGTCTTAAGGTCCGATGCGTTTTTCACGTTCCACCAAGGCTTCCTATGGAAAACTGAATGAACGTGTATACTGTCTTATAACGAGGATAATTCTTCAGCAAGAGAGGAAAATGAATATGTCAGTAATTCATATAGCTATATAGATATATCCCATAACTCGACAGAGACTTGTCGTCTGCATCATTTTCTAGGCATTGTTAATTATATCTGCTCATTTGACGTTGACAGCTCCAAAATTTGTTAAATGGTGAGAGATTATCTTTGTAATTATATATTTATTTCCATTGGAGGATTCCCAGGATATTTATTCTAATAAATGAATTTACCCGCTAATCTAGACTAACATGCATGTTTTTCACAAATAATACTGTCATTTTCTACATGAATTAATGTTAAATATGATTATATTTGACGCGTCAAACTTACATAAAAACAAACAAAATTTAAAGTTAAAATGGATGTATCTTTTTTTCCAGACGTACACGCATTTTTCAGAATTAGATCTACATTGTCTAGAAAATGTTCATCTCCTCTTAACTTTGAATATTTCATTGTTTTTGCCATGACTTCGAGTCTTATATATGGTCCGATTGTCATTCAAAAAAATTCACAAGGAATCTCATATGAGTAAGAACACGTCTCCCTCAATAAAGCCTCAACAAATGCACCAGTATTTCTTTACTGTTATGACCCCCCCCCCCCCTCCCCTCCCCCACGTTGATTACATTAAATAGCTCTTTGACGAATTTAGAATAAATTAAATTCTGGTACATTCCACACAAAAGTTGATAGAAAATTTTTGGTAAAGTGGTCTGACAGATTTTGAAATATTTAAAACAACATCTACAACATTTATATTTTGCTATGCTTTTTTTTCTTGATTTGGTTTTATGTCGCACCAATACAGTTACAGTTTCTTGCATATCAGACAAGATTATCTACCGTTTCGGCGGTGCTAGAAAGCCCTGTCTTACACCGTCGCGTGCTTTAAATGACGTCATTGCGGCGCGCCTTTTATGAATGAAGTTTGTAAGTCTATATGCACCTACAAGTAAAAAGTGCGTAATGAAAATATCAGTTTTCGTAATTTCTGTTCCGGAAATAAATGACATTTAATATGCCAGTATATAAATAACACATGGGTTTGTGGGTAACAGTAAAAATATCATCCCGAGGAAAATAATGTTACCCGAGGCGTAGCCGAGGGTAACAGTATTTTTACGAGGGATGATATTTTTTAATGTTACTCACAAACGGTTTAACCCATGTGTTATTTATTTTATTACCCCGAACAAAAATACTGTGATGATCTGAAATTGTCAACTAAATCTAACTGTAACAAAAATAAACCAAGAGTAACAATAACTAAACTGTCCTTACCTTTTAATTATTCTTTAGGCCTAAGCAAGTGATGATATCTACAAATCATAAACATACAATAAGCTAGGTTTTATTTAGAAAACAAAACACTAACCCATTTACACGGTTATGATCTGTGAAATCTGATCCTTCTGTTTCCAGAATATTCTTAGCATGGTTTTTGACAAAATAACGATGATATCCTATGTCTGTCCACCATATCTGTAACGTTTCACTGATTAAAATTGTTAAATAATCCTTTTTTGCATGCTTAAATCGTCGCATGTTCCAGTTTGACACATAATTATTTACATTGCAATTACTTCCGTTGAAAACGGATGTTCACTTTTTGACTATTCAACAAAAAGATATTTTATACGCAAAAGCACACCAGTACGGTGGCACAAAGGTGACATGTGTGTGTTTTTATTTATCTCGTGGCCACGAGATACTATGTCGTGGCCACGAGTTATTAAGTCGTGGCCACGAGATAGCTAAGTCGTGGCCACGAGATAATTAACCAATCAGAATACACAATATATATTATGAATTTTTTTAACTTAACAACTTACTTTTGACATGCAACATTAATCTTTGAAAATACTGAAGATATTCACTTTGAACTTGTCTTTATGATCATATTCGAAAGTCACCTTCCAAGGCCCATCAGACATTAATTTGGACTAAAGCTCTTTGTTAGGACAATTTTGTGATCGAATTGGTCAGTTGGTACGTACTACGGCCTGTAAACCTTGTTTATACGATAACATGAGAAGGAATAAGTCCTGGTTTATTTTATTTATAAGGGACATTGCCCACAGACAGTAGATAGCCTATTAGGTAAAATCCTTGTCTGATGAATAATTTAGAAGGGATAAGCGATGGTTTATATAACCCAGAAAGATCATTGTAGCTGATCAGTTTACTGACATCTAATAATTTAGAGGTCATTGGGTCAAAAATCAGGGTCACAGTGACGCTAAATGTAAAATTATTGACAAGTCAATAAGTTGTATAAATGGCACTTATATAGGCTGGTAAAGTAGGGGCATCCTTGTACTAGTTAATAAGGGAAATTCACATAAATGATGTAATCTGATTGGTTATTTATCTCGTGGCCACGAGTTAGCTATCTCGTTCCCACGACTTAGTAACTCGTGGCCACGACATAGTATCTCGTGGCCACGAGTTAGCTATCTCGTTCCCACGACTTACTAACTCGTGGCCACGACATAGTATCTCGTGGCCACGAGTTAGCTATCTCGTTCCCACGACTTAGTAACTCGTGGCCACGACTTAGTAACTCGTGGCCACGACATAGTATCTCGTGGCCACGAGTTAGCTATCTCGTTCCCACGACTTAGTAACTCGTGGCCACGACATAGTATCTCGTGGCCACGAGTTAGCTATCTCGTTCCCACGACTTAGTAACTCGTGGCCACGACATAGTATCTCGTGGCCACGAGATAAATAAAAACACACACATGTCACCTTTGTGCCACCGTACACCAGGGTGCGAACAACTAAATTTTATGAGTGTCATAGTTACTCCAGAGAAGAAATTGATGTCCTATCGGGGTTTAACGTCGAAAATAAAAATGAATCGAGAAAAAAATGGCGGCCATTTTTTTCATTTTATTTAGAAAATAGACCACGTGACCAGATTTTATACTGTTAAAAATACTGTTACCTATGTAACAGTACAAAATTCTTAGTCACGTGGTACACTTGCATTAACAGTAAAAATAACTCCCAGAGGCCTATGGGAAATTAGCATTACGAAAAACGTGAGGGGTAATAAAAAAAGAATCATACACAGACGGGAATATCTAGCTCTCGGGTAACTGTTTAGCGGAAACTCGGCAAAGCCTCGTTACCACCGTAAACAGTTACACTCGACCTAGATATTCCGGTCTGTACCGGCAGCCGGTGTAAGATTCTTATAAGGTCATATGATGACGTTCCAGCTTTACTGGTGGAGGAAGACCTCATGTGCCCTTCCGTGCATTATTTTAGGCACAAAAGAGCGCCGACGTTTGGTAAGCTAGTTGTAGGCCTACAGCTTTCTCACACAAAAAACATCCAAAGTACCTGTCGGGGGCTCGAACCCACAGCGGTGAGGGGCAAATGGTTTGAAATCAACCACTCGACCACGGATACCCCGTTTTCGCTATGTGATAGTAGTCTACGGACTTCCAATAAGATTGTATTTCTATGTGGAATCAAATTGAACTATAGCTTAAGCCTACAACTATATAAAGCTTTTTTGTGTTCATTTCTGTCGGGGAATTGTTTTACGCGCACAACAGCATTGATCGAGTAAAAAGTTACCAGTACTTCCTGTGAGTGTTGTTATATCTTTCAAATTATTCGGCATCAGTTTTGTTTTGTTTCAACACTTCTAGTATTGAGTTTTGTGTACTTTCTTAAAACGGTGCTATGGTGCACTAGACATGTTGCATTTTCATCGTCATTCATGAACAGACTAAATAAAACCAAATATGCAATTTTCTCAACATTATGTTTTTGTTTTCATTGGGTTAAGCCTTTCCAGAATTTTAATACAAAACTGCAATGACCTGTAAAACTTATATGCATAATACTTAAAATACATCAGACAGTCCCAAATGT